TAGACAGTGCCTCTAGCCCACTCATGTCTCCTCATAGATGTGTTGGTGTGATTTGGTCCTGTGGCACTGCCACAGAGATCATTAAGCAGAGACCCCATGCTTCAGATCAACAGCCTGACGAAAGTAGTTCAAAGATGCAATGCCTTTTCTCACCATCCCCTTCCAGAAATACGAGCAGGGATTCATCACAGACCCTGTAGTGCTCAGCCCGAAGGATCGAGTGCGGGATGTTTTTGAGGCCAAGGCCCGGCATGGTTTCTGCGGTATCCCAATCACAGACACAGGCCGGATGGGGAGCCGCTTGGTGGGCATCATCTCCTCCAGGGACATTGATTTTCTCAAAGAGGAGGAACATGACTGTTTCTTGGAAGAGGTGGGTGCCACTGGCAGAGTACAGCCAAGTTCTGGAAGCCCAGGATGAAAAGAGGCTTCTGTTGCCTGTATGACATCTCTGATAGCCATTCCTATCTGGGAAAGATGAGAGTCGAGCCATGTTTCTGACTCCTTCATTGTGAACGCTTTGAAACTGCCCAAATGCTTGCTAGTATTAATGTGTTCTTTGAAACCCCTAAGGCAGGGCTTGAGGTCAGCCCACATTTTCTTGCCATTGTTCCTGTGTGGTCCTTCTTATTCCATAACGTAAGGGGCTGCTCGCTGTGCTGTGTTGTCCTTTCTACTCACCCCTCATTCAATACTAGACTGCTTAGGAACTACTGGAATCCCCTTAGGAAGGGTGGTTTGGGTGCGGGCGAATGAAGGTGGTGGTCCGTAGAACCTCACCCCTGAATTAGGCAGGGTATGTAGAGGTGACTGGCCATAGGCTGCACACGGTGACTCACGCCTGTAATCCCAAACTTTGGGAGGCTGAGGTGAGCGAATCTTGAGGTTAGGAGTTTGAGACCAGTCTGGCCAACATGGTGAAACCCCATCTCTACTAAAAATACGAAAAATTAGTTGGGCATGGTGGCAGGCCCCTGTAATCCCAGCTACTCGGGAGACCAAAAAAAAAGGTGACTGCCCATAGTCTGGCCCTTCCTCATATCTCACCTTCCATGTAGATCATGACAAAGAGGGAAGACTTGGTGGTAGCCCCTGCAGGCATCACACTGAAGGAAGCAAACGAAATTCTGCAGCGCAGCAAAAAAGGTAAGTCCTAGAGCTGGGAAGGGGCCTGAAACTAATACTCAGGCTCCTGATTCATGTCCTGCCCTGACCACAGGCAAGCTGCCCATTGTAAATGAAGATGATGAGCTTGTGGCCATCATTGCCCGGACAGACCTGAAGAAGAATCGGGACTACCCACTGGCCTCCAAAGATGCCAAGAAACAGCTACTGTGTGGAGCAGCCATTGGCACTCATGAAGATGACAAGTATAGGCTGGACTTGCTCGCCCAGGCTGGTGTGGATGTAGTGGTTTTGGTGAGCTGCTACACAGGCGGGTTGGGGCAGTAGGGGGAGCTGTCACATCACAGTCTGAAACTTAACTTCCCGTCTCAGGACTCTTCCCAGGGAAATTCCATCTTCCAGATCAATATGATCAAGTACATCAAAGAGAAATACCCCAATCTCCAGGTCATTGGAGGCAACGGTAAGGCAAGATTGTGCCCTGAAGGATGTGTGGTGGGAGTGGGTAAGCTGGGCTCCCACTGTAACCTTCATGTGAGCATTTCCTTCACCTTAGTGGTCACTGCTGCTCAGGCCAAGAACCTCATTGATGCAGGTGTGGATGCCCTGCGGGTGGGCATGGGAAGTGGCTCCATCTGCATTACCCAAGAAGGTAAGAATATGCTTTGACAGGGCCCACAGAGACCCCAGTTTCAGGCCCCACATACCTTGGAGCCAAGCACTCTTACGGGAACAATAGAGTCCTCTAGTAGGGGCAACCCTGGGGCCAAATTGGCCTCTTGGATGGGTGACATGGCTGGAAGCAAGACAAAGTCTTGTCATCCCTCACCTGCCACTCCCCTGCCTAGCCTGGCCTCCTTGCTCCTGCTCTGTGCCTTCTCTAAACTCTGGTCTGTTTGTTTTATTTAGTGGCTCCCAAGATCCCTCCAGACATAAAGTCCCACAGCCCCAAATGCCCTTCTACTGTCACGGGTTGCTATAGTAAGTCTAGCCCGGCCCACTGGCCCGGCCCAGCTGCCCACTGCCCGGCTGCTTGGTTGACTGTAGCTGTAGCTCCCGGGGTTTGTGGTGCTGATGGGTGGGCAGGGCCAACTGATATACAGACCGTGGTTTGGGGGCTGCTAATGAACATAGCTCCTCTTCCTCCTGGGGTGCTGATAGGGCAGGACCTCCTTCCCTAGTAGGCCCTTCCCTGCCCACATCTTCTGCAGTAGGCATGGCTCAAGGACCAACTCTGGAGCCTGCTGCCCCACACAACCACTGCCCTTATCTTGCCTGAACTGCCCACCATTCAGGGAGGAAGGGCTGGGCCTGACTTTAGTGCCTCTGGGGACTAACTGCACGGTGACTCCTGCCCCATCTGATACCAGCTGGACGGGGGCTTTCCCGGCTGCCAAGACTGCATGTGCCTGAGGCTGCCCTGGGCACTGCGCACATGCACGTGCACATGTGGGGGTGAGTGGAGGTCAGCACAGCTGTTTGTATTATTTAAGGCAGATGGGGCAGCAGCCATTCCGACACATCTCTTCCTCAGCCAAGCTGCAGTCCTGATGCAGATGTAGGCAAGAGCTCCTGGGTCCTAAATGTAGCCACAGAGTCCACTGCCTGTCCCCATTAACCCTATCCACCCATGTGTTCCTCCATCTCAACAGTGCTGGCCTGTGGGCGGCCCCAAGCAACAGCAGTGTACAAGGTGTCAGAATATGCACGGCGCTTTGGCGTTCCAGTCATTGCTGATGGAGGAATCCAAAATGTGGGCCATATTGCCAAAGCCTTGGCCCTTGGGGCCTCCACAGGTGAGGCCCAGTACCCATGAAGGCCAGTGGGACTCCCCCTGCCCCCATGCTGCTTAAGCTCTGCCCCAAGCACTCCATCTCTCCACAGTCATGATGGGCTCTCTCCTGGCTGCCACCACTGAGGCCCCTGGTGAGTACTTCTTCTCCGATGGGATCCGGCTAAAGAAATACCGCGGTATGGGTTCTCTCGATGCCATGGACAAGCACCTCAGCAGCCAGAACAGATATTTCAGGTGGGACAAGCAGGCCTATTACCCCACCTAATCCTGCACTGTCTCATCTCTGCTGTGACCTTGCCTGTGTCTCTGCCTCTCCCTGCAGTGAAGCTGACAAAATCAAAGTGGCCCAGGGGGTGTCTGGTGCTGTGCAGGACAAAGGGTCCATCCACAAATTTGTCCCTTACCTGATTGCTGGCATCCAACACTCGTGCCAGGACATTGGTGCCAAGAGCTTGACCCAAGTCCGGTGAGCTTGGGAAGCTGGGACATGGGTAGAGGGGCTGGTTCAGGGCCAGCTACCCACATTTGACTTCTGCCCCTCTTCAGAGCCATGATGTACTCTGGAGAGCTTAAGTTTGAGAAGAGAACGTCCTCAGCCCAGGTGGAGGGTGGCGTCCATAGCCTCCATTCGTAAGTCACCCTGTCCCTGGTGGGCCCTCTGCCATGCCTCATGCCTCCTTCCTCCTGCCTTCACCTCACAGGTGGTCCTTCTGCCTGCAGGTATGAGAAGCGCCTTTTCTGAAAAGGGATCCAGCACATTGCCTCAGTTTTTTTCAATAAAACTTTAGAAAAAAAAGGTGATGCCTGATCTTTGAGGTCAACAGACAGGTGGGGCTCTGTAGCTGTCACTACCACAGATGTACGTAAACACAGCACTCTGATTTTCAGTGGGAACCTCAGGCCCTGAAATAAATGTGCTCCGTGGACCTGAAAGGGGGTAATACCAGGTTCAAAAAGTTCCTCCTAAGGCTGCTCACAAAACAGCTTTGACCAGCTGTGGTTCCTGGGGTTTGTCTCACACTGAGCTGCTTTTACCCCTCTGGCTCCCAAGGGGTCAAAGAACAATCCCTGGTACTGGCATCAACAGGGCATCCTACTAGGCCATAGCTTGGCCATATAGGACCAGGTCAAGACACATATATGTTCCCTAACTTAAATATCTCTCAGCCAGGCGTGGTGGCTCTCGCCTATAATCACTTTGGGAGGCTGAGGCAGGTGGCAACACAGTAAAACCCTATCCCTAATAAAAATAAAAATTAGCCGGGCATGGTGACATGTTCCTATAGTCCAGCTACTCAGGAGGCTGAGGCAGTGGAATCACCTGAACCCGGGAGGCAGAGGTTGCAGTGAGCAGAGATCACTTCACTGCACTCCAGCCTGGCAGAGAGAGAGCATCTCAAAAAAAGAAATTAGGTGTGGTGGTGGGGACCTGTAATCCCAGCTACACAGGAGGCGGAGGCAGGATAATCACTTGAATCTAGGAGGTGGAGGTTGCAGTGGGACAAAATCAGGCCACTGCACTCTAGCCTGGGTGACAGAGCAAGACTCCGTCTCAGAGAAACCAAAAAAAAAAAAAAAATCAATGATTTTGTGAGAAAAGGCATTGAGGTCCTCTGAAATCTGCATGTGAGCAAGTAGACAGGTCTACAACGGGTAAACATACTATTTTTTTTTTTTTTTTTTTTTGAGACGGAGTTTCGCTCTTGTTACCCAGGCTGGAGTGCAATGGCGCGATCTCGGCTCACCGCAACCTCCGCCTCCTGGGTTCAGGCAATTCTCCTGCCTCAGCCTCCTGAGTAGCTGGGATTACAGGCACGCACCACCATGCCCAGCTAATTTTTTGTATTTTTAGTAGAGACGGGGTTTCACCATGTTGACCAGGATGGTCTCGATCTCTTGACCTCGTGATCCACCCGCCTCGGCCTCCCAAAGTGCTGGGATTACAGGCTTGAGCCACCGCGCCCGGCCCAACTATTCTAAGTTAATCTAGGTGAAAAAGTGACCCCTTGGTTTCTTCACATTCCTCTCCAAGAGCCCAGTAAGCCAGCAGCTCCTGGCCAGCAACACACCTGATACAAAATGGGAGAAGTGTATAAATTATTATGTTGATAAGCAAGATAAGTGCCAAAGGGGAGATAAGAGTGAAAGCATTGGCAACTGGCAGAGTGCAGTCAGCAGGTCAGTTCCTGGTGGTTCTGAGTAGCTTGGCCCAAAGATGTGAGTAAAGTCCCTCCTGGTGGGGGGATGAGAGCAGCTCCGGTTACTCGGCCTTCATTACACAAGAAGTTGAAGGTGGCACAGGCATTGGGCTGCAAAGAAAAGGCCAGAATCAGCCTGTCTAGTGCCAAGCCTGTACTCCCCACAGCATGCCTCAGTTGCAGGACTCACCGTGTCCTGCACTTCCACAGCAATGCCCCGCTGCCTCATGGCTTGAAGCACCCGGGACTGCAGCCTCTCGGTCCGGTCTCCAGTCCCCACCACAACAATCTCTAGGGAAGGGAGGGTGAGGCTAGTCTACAATTCTGTTGAGAGGTTGGGGTGGGGGTTGCCTTTTGGAGCTCAAGGCACCTCTGCCCTGCCTCCCCTCCCCCGAGTACCTATCCGGGGCTCCAGCATCCAGAAGAGGGAAAAGCTCTCTTCGGTGATGTCCTGGTGAGATCCCACCTGTGCAGGGAGATGACTTACTCAGTACAACAAATCCACGCAGCTTCTCCCCACCTCCATCCACTACAGGAGATAAAGGAAAGCCACGTTTACAGGGACACAAGCAGGCTGAGGACCTGTGGCTCTGGACCTCAGTTTCCTCACAGCGGGCCAGGACTTACGTTCCATTGCAGCAACGAGTGCGGGAGCAGAGCGCAGGGCCCGACCACGCGGTTTCCGTTGATCATGAAGCCGCGGCTGCTGTAGCTGTCGATGTACATGCTCTGAAAGGCCTCGCGTTGCAGCAGAGAGATGTGCGTCCGCTGATACAGCTCGTCATCTGCTGGCGAGAGCCGATGCCCTCGTCGCGGGGCCCTGCGGAGGGAAAGGGTCAGGGTCACAGGGCCGGGCCGGGCCGCCCGAGAAGCCAGAAGGTGCGGGGTGGCAGTCGCCGGCCCTAGGGGGTGGGATGGTCAACGGTGCGGGGTCCAGCTTACCAGGAAAATTGAACAGGCAGACAGCGCAGCGAGGGTCGCGCTCTGTACAAGCTGCGTAGCGCGAGAGCGGTGGCCATGGCTGACCGACGCGCGGCGAAGTCGTCACCGGCGCCGGTTGCTACAGGGTTGGCGGGGCCCTGCGGAGGCTGACCCGGCGCGGGTGCAGCGCCCCCTGCGTCCCGGAGGGCACGGCACAGCTCGGCCAGCCCAGCAGGCGAGTGTCAACTGTCCTGGGAGGACGAGTCCCCCGACCTCCGGCGCAGCTCCAATGTCATCACCTGCCGCTCGCCCCGCCCCGGGCCCTTGCCCACAGTCCCAGGGGAGTGGAACACCTGGTAGTGTGGCCGCCCTCAGGGCGTTGCCTGAGCCGCAGTCGCGGCCTGGCCCCCGGGCTTTCAGCTATTAAGCCACGCTCCTGAGGCGGGGCAGCCGCCCACCTAGTTGTGAACCGAACACCTGGCCAAGCGGTCGGGGCCAGACTTCGAGCCCCTAATCCTAGCCTCTGGGGCTTCAGGCACCGTGGGCGGGTCAGCCGGCTCAAGCTTCTCGGGCTCACAGGCGAAGCACGCCCCGCCCTAACCGTCACACGCGCGACCGTTGGCCTCTCTGCTGCGCGCTGAGAGAGGCGTGGCCGAGCGTGGATTGGTTTCTCGGGTGCTCCAGGGGGCGTGGCCAGGTGGTTTCGCCTTAAAATGGCTCCAAGTCCGCGAGCAGCCAGAGCAAGCGGAAGGTAGTGTGTGGGTGGCTGGGCCAGGCCGGGCAGAACTGGACCAGACTTGAAGTAGAAGCGCGTGGAGCATCACCTTGTCCTCGTTCACTCTGCTCTCGTCCTGGGAGTCCCCAGTCCCCCGTCTTGAACCAAGTCAAGGGCCTACTGGCGCGAGAGTCGCTGGCGCCCGCGCGGGGATTGGGTATCTCGGCACGCTGGCTCTGTCGTGGCCTCAGGGGAACATTGTCGCGTTCGCTACTTGCGGGGCTGGGCGAGCAGGAAGCTTGGCACAGTCGGGGCCTGGTGGTGGGTCTCCTGGGGGCGGTCGCAAAAGGTTTCCGGGGTTCCCGCCGCTGCTGTGTGGGCCCCTGGTGCTCTGGGCGCTGGCAGAATCACTGGACAAAGAGCTCCGAGCGCGGGGGTGTCCCCGAGGCGGACGCGTGGGTTTACTTCCTCTCCAGCCCCACGGGCGCGCTTCCCTCCTGGCGGATTCTGAAGCCCGCCCCACCATCATCACCGCACCAGTGGCCCAGACTTCGTGGGACTAACAGGGCTAACCCTGCCCTGCGGATCTAATCCGGATCGGGACCCGGTCCCAGGGAAGGCCCCCACCTCCCCTTCTGTTGTTCTGGGGCCCAGGTGAGCGTCTTGTTCCCTCTAGACTCAGTTTCACAGCCTACTGCTATGTCTGCCTCCTGGGACTAGGGATGGGCGGGTTCTGATGTAGCCCCAGGGCGAGTGACCAGGGGGCGGGAGCTCCCCCGCCCCCCGCCAACGGCTGGACAGCGGGCAACGGAATCCCAAAAGCAGCTGTTGTCTCCAGAGCATTCCAGCTGCGCTTGGATTTCGTCCCCTGCTCTCCTGCCTGAGCAGCGCCCTGGCCCAGATGGGGTACTCCTGACCCCCAGACATACTTTACTGAGCCGCTTGGGTCTCAGTTCCTCTCTCAGGTGCGCCCTCAGGCTGGAGGTGATGGTTGTAGAAGTCGGAGAGCTGAAGCTGGTGGCCATCCCTGGAACCCTGAGGATCACTGGCGAGGGAGGGTAGACCCAGGACCTCCGGGTAGGGCTGCAATGATAGTGAGTCCCCCAGGACAGCCTCAGCCCGCAGCTTGCTAAAGATAGCCCTCTACTTCCTGGGGAAAACCACCCCAACCGTCTTCGTGGATGACAGTATCTAAAGTCCTCAGTTTGGCTGAAGGTTTCCAACCCTGCTAAGCAGCTGTCTCCAGGTCATGCGCCTTCAGCATGGAAAGCGCTTTGGAATGACACGATCACTCCCGTTGAGTGGGCACCCGAAAAGCCATCGGGAATGTCGTGTCCGCCCAGTGCTCTTTCGGCACCTCCCATCCAGGGCCTCAGCCCTGGCCCAGAAAATGGCCTTGTCGAGCTTTTCCTGCCCTTGGGTTCCCCTCCTCTCTGGATTTCCCAGCTCTTTTTGCTGGGTTAGCTTCGCTCTCTATTAAAAGGAAGGGGTGGTGGTGAGTATGTTACATTGAAATGAAAACATTTGGGAACTTTTGCGGGGGTTGGGGGGGAGAAAAAAAGCTCTCCCACTGGTAGAGGAGCAGGATGCTCCAAGGTCTGTTTCTCTGCTTCTTATGGTCGCATTATTTGGTTGGCCCATAATGACTGGAAATGTAAGAACCGTTGTTAAAGTACAGCAGGTTAAAGGAGTCACATTAAAAGCTGTTCATTCTGGAAGCCGTCATGATGGTTTTAATTCCTCAGGTATCAAGAGAAGAAAACCGGAAATTATATCAGAGTGCGCATTTATTGGGAATAAAGACCACCCGGGCCAAGCGCGGTGGTTCACGCCTGTAATCCCAGCGCTTTGGGAGGCCGAGGCGGGCGGATCACGAGGTCAGGAGTTCGAGACCATCCTGGCCAACATGGTGAAACCCCATCGCTATAGGAAAAAAAAAAAAAAATGCAAAAAATTAGCCGGGCATGATGGCAGGCACCTGTAGTTCCAGCTACTCGGGAAGCTGAGGCAAGAGAATCGCTTGAACCTGGGAGGCGGAGGTTGCAGTGAGCCGAGACCGCACCACTGTACTTCAGCCTGAGCAATAAATAGAGCGGGACTCCATCTCAGAAAAAAACAAAACAAAACAAAACAAAAACACCCATATCTCAAATGAGAAAATGCTTGCAAATAACCTGAACACTATTCCTTTTAAAACAAGATATTTTAAATAGGTCATGAAAGTGGCCTTAATGTTATACTGCCTTATTCCAGTGACAAGTATTCATCATGTGTAAAATGGAAGAAATGTCAACACAAAGATGTGAGACTTCAATGAGAAGAGACGGTACCCTGTCTGAGCCCCCACCGGGTCGCGAGTTAAGGCCTGGTCTTCTCCCTGGTTAAGGACTGGTCACAACGAAAGAACCCCTGGCCCGGGGTGGACCCCGAAGTTTCAGATCCGTGGCCCGGCTGTCCAGGTGAACCACGCGGAAGGGGCGGTAGGCCGAAAGCAGCCAACACCGCTCCCTCTTTCGCACCTGTCCACTTAACGGGGACCGCCGCCTAATCCCAGCCCCAGCCAGTCGATCCTTTCCGGAAGTTCCACCTCCCTAAATTTTTTTTTCCGGTTCCGTTCACTCCTTCCGGTCACCATGACTACCGGGCGCCTTGGTGTCGGGGAGACGCTGGGAGCCCTCAACGCGGCCCTGGGGCCAGGCGGTCCCGTGTGGATCAAGGAGACGCGCACCCGCCACCTGCGTTCCCGAGACTTCCTGGCGCCGCGCCGGGCGCTGCAGGCGCGCTTCAATGACGGGCAGGTGGGCACGAGCCGGGCCGTACGGCTGGGAGCTCAGCCCAGTGCCGTGGCCCGCTGACACCCCGTTCTCCCACAGGTTCCCGAGCATGTGCTCCATGCCCTCGCCTGCCTGCAGGGCCCCGGTGTGGCTCCGGTGCTGCGCTGCGTGCCGACCCCCGCGGGTCTGTCGCTCCAACTGCAGCGTCCCCCAGTCTTCGAGCGCGTCCTCAGCGCCGTGGCTGCTTATACCGCGCCCGCCTCGCCCGCCTCACCCGGCCAGCGCGTCTTACTACACTGCCCGGCACTGCGCAGCTCCCACTGCGCACTCCGCTTGAGCCAGCTGCGTACGGTGCTCGTGGCCGATCACCTGGCGCGAGCTCTGCGCGCTCACGGGTGAGCGGGGCCGCGGGGCTGGAATGGAGGAGGGACTACTGGAGACCTAGAGAGCAATCGGCGCCGCCCTTGGGGACTGCGCCTGGAGGTGGGAAGTCGTGGCGAGCGTGTCCAGGTGCGCAGTCTGAAGCGGCCGCCCTCCCTTTGCAGGGTATGCGTGCGCCTAGTGCCAGCTGTGCGGGATCCGCACATGCTGACCTTCCTGCAGCAGCTGCGGGTGGACTGGCCCACTGCCTCGGAGAGAGCTTCCTCCCATACCCTGAGGAGTCACGCACTTGCAGAACTTACCTCTTCTTATGACGGGAGGGCACTGTCCCCTGGCATCCTAGGCAGACTGTGTCTGAAGGAGCTGATGGAAGAACAGGGCTGCACAGCTGGCTATGACCCCAACCTGGACAACTGTCTGGGTAGGATCTGAAGCCTGGCAGGGCCAGAAAAGGCAGGAGAGGATGGGGTGACATCTCCACTTCTTGCCAGCCTCAGCACCTGTCTGTTCTCTTTGCAGTGACTGAGGATCTCCTCTCTGCCCTGGCTGAGCTGCAGGAGGCTCTATGGCATTGGCCTAAGGACAGCCACCTAGGCCTGGTTAGTGACTCCCAGCCCTGTAGGTTCTGGCAAACCAAGTATATACTGTACTTCCACAGTGATGATTGTCCTCCCTTAGGCTGGGGTCCCAGATACTGGTACAGACAGTTGCCTGGTTATACACGTGGTTAGCTGTGAGGAGGAGTTCCAGCAACAGAAGTTGGACCTGCTTTGGTGGAAGTTGGTTGACAAGGCTCCACTCAGACAGGTAGGTTAATGATGGTGGAGCTCCCCACCACTTCACCCCCAACCTCAGAGGGCCCTTGAAAACCCACCACAGGGCATGTTAGCTGACAGGTCCAAAAACCAACACTTGACCTTGGGGAGTTGCTGGACTTGAGAGGGCATGTGAAGCAGGTGCAGAGGCTCTGGGGAATGGGGGCTCTGCAGACACATCTCAAGAACATTGAAGACCAGGTTGAGGAGGCTGGACTGTGTGTGGCCTGAGGGACTGGGTAGAAGGAGCCACTCAACCTGGCGGTTCCAAGTTGAGGGAGTCTGGGTTGAGTGGAGGCACCAGATTCAGGCCCCTCCAGGGACTACTGCTGGAGAGTAGTGCCAGCTGGGCTAAGCCCTGCCATCTTCCTGACAGAAGCACCTGGTCTGTGGCCCAGTGAAAGTAGCTGGTGCACCTGGCACTCTGATGACTGCCCCTGAGTACTACGAGTGAGTGAGGCTGGGACAACCTAAGCCAGGGTAGTGTGGGGGAACTCTTTGTTGGGACCCTGCCTACTGGCCTTCCTCTCTTCCAAACACAGGTTCCGGCATGCCCAGGTGTGCAAGGCCTCAGCACTGAAGCATGGTGGGGATCTGGCACAAGGTGTGCCTGGGAAACCCTGGCTATGTTCTGGGTTAGGGGCAGGTTGTTTGTATCCCTGCCCTTGCCTGCAGACTGACTGAACAACCCTATACTCCCTCAGACCCAGCCTGGACAGAGATCTTCAATGTTCTCTCTGTGGCCACCAGTCAAGTTTGAGATGCTGGGCACAGCCCCACAGAGTCAGGTGAGCCTGGGAGCCTGACAGGGCCAGGGTTGGGGGACAGGTTATGGTGGCTGCCTTGTCTCTGCAGCTGTGCTCCTATTCCCCAGATCCTCCTGACTCTGGCTGACAGCAACATCTCCACGAAGGGCACAAAAAGTGGCACCTTTGTCATGTATAATTGTGCCCGTCTTGCCACACTCTTTGAGAGTTACAAGTGCAGTATGGAACAAGGTCTGTACCCCAATTTTCCTCCAGTGAGCAGTCTGGACTTCTCACTGCTACATGATGAGGTGAGTGTCCCTCTTGGTAGCTGGCACAAGGAGGTCTGGACTTTCCCTCCCAGCACCTTTCTTCCCCACAGGGTGAGTGGTTGTTGCTCTTCAACAGTATCCTCCCCTTTCCGGATCTGCTGAGCCAGACAGCAGTGCTGGACTGCACAGCCCCAGGGCTCCACATCGCTGCACGCACAGAGATGGTGAGGCACAGACAACCAGGATAGACACTGCACATTCTATTCTTTATTCTGGCCTGGGGCACAAGAGCAAAGAGATGGGCCAGTGACTCAGTCTCTGTCTCTAGATGTGCAAGTTCCTGGTACAGCTCAGTATGGATTTCAGCTCCTACTACAATCGGGTACACATCCTAGGGGTGAGCACACAGCAAAACGGGGTGGGAAGTGCAGAGGGATACAGGGTAAACGCAAAGGAAGCAGAGGATGAGACCAGCAGGCCCCTTCTCCTTCAGGAGCCTCG